GCAAGCTGCTTGAAACACCATAAATCCCAGCTCCTGGTGCTGACAGAGAGATTGAGCCTGGAGGGGAGGGAGGCATAACTGCTTCCTTGGATTTTTAGTTGCGGAAAGTGGGGAGCGGGTGGTGGGGGGAGGTGGGAAGGAGGATAGCTCAGACCTGTGGGTCACATCCTGGGTGTGCACCTGCTCTAGCCTCAGCTCTCAGTGCTCTCGCGTTAACTCTGTACTGGCCTCAGTGCTGTTATAGGTGGTGGTCAGTAGACCAGTGGCAACCGTGGTGTCAGATCTTATCCTTACTGGTGTCACCCAGAAACTCCAGCAACAGCAATCTGTCGGGGGCACCTGTCCCTTCCCACCTGCCTTTGCTTAGTTGGGAGTTCAGCGCCTAAGCCTGAGCTCCGAACCCAGCACTGGACTTACTTGTGTGGCTTGGAGCAATTCACTCATGTCTCTGCCTCAGTTTCCTAGTTGAACTAAGATAAACTTGTGGTTGGTGTGATTTTGACGATAGCAAGAAATTATGGCTAGGGTTTCCTCTCTCTCATGCACACACTCCATTTCCTGCCCGCATGCCTGCTTGGGAACCAGGTTGGAAATGAAGATCATCAAGGGCTCCAGCGGCACCCCAAAGCTCAGCTACACAGGGCGGGACGACAGGCACTTTGTGCCCACTGGTCTCTACATCGTCAGGACAGTGAACGGTGGGTGATGAGCGACTGTTTTCTGTCCCCGCCTCCCTCAGGGTGATGGGCCCAGGTCCTGCCTATGCCAGAGCTAGGGGTTCCCTACGAATGTGGGTAGCAGCCAGGCTGGCATTTCTTTGAGGTACATGGGGGCGGGCGGGGGATTGTGTGCCCTGAGCCTCTTCTGTCCTCTTCTGTGGTGGGTCCTGGGGTTAGGTTTGGGCTGGGAAGAGAGGAGCCCAACTCATATATGCATGTGGTGTCCTCATGGCAAGAAGGGGGTGTTCTGGCAGATCCAGAAAGTCCAGCTTGGCCATTTGCATGCCCTGTAGAACCCCCTTCTTCAGGGCCCTCTTCAGATGTTGCCCTGGTGCAGGTTAGCAGGCCTGGGTGGGCTGGTTAAGTCTCTTAGTCCTCTGGAGCCCCTTTAGGCTGGAGACGAGGGCTGCCTGCACTTTGGGGAGGGAAGGGAGAACAGAGTGAAGGAGGGCACACCCTGCGTTGGCTGCCCTGTTCCCCTTGGTTACTGTGTCCTTCCTGGGCTCTTCCTCTTCTCCTCAGAGCCATGGACAATGGCATTCAGCAAAAGCTTTAAGAGGAAGTTCTTCTACAACAAGAAAACCAAGAGCTCTACCTTTGAACTCCCTGCAGACGCCATTGCCCCATTTCAGTAAGTAGCCTGCCCCTCAGCAGTCCCCCGCACTCCTGCCAGGATGCTAGCCAGTCCTTTGGGACACAGCCCAGGTACTAGGACCAACTGCTGCCCATGGAGGGGCTCCTCTGGAGCAAGGACCAGACTCCTCTCTACAGGGGTGTGGAGGGCAGCCTCTCCAGGGCGTGGCTGGGCCTGGGCAGTAAGCTCAGAGAGAGGAGAGGGATGCCAGGACCCGCTGGATGGTTGGGGGTCCTGGGTTCCAGGAAGGATCCCACTTAGGGCACCTGCCCCATGAGCAGCTACTGCTTCCCTGACTTGCTGACACTGTCCTGGTGGTGCAAACACGCTGAGTGCCCACAGCCCTGCCTCTCGTAACTCCGGGTCCCAACTGTCCTTGTCAGGACCCCGTGTGCATTTGCCAGGTTGTTGATTGTAGGTTTAAGCAGCCATCCCGATGGATGCCAACAGCAGCAGCAGCTGTTTATTGGGAAAAGGTGGTTTCCTAGGAAGTGAGGAGGAGCGGGAGCCTTCTGGGGTTTTGGCTGCCAGAAGGAAGACCCTCAAGTGGCATTGTTAATAGTGATGCCAGGACCTGCTGTGATGGTTGGGGTCCTGGGTGGGGACCTCCCCACTTAAGTTCATCCCCTAAACCAGTTGTCAGGGGTGGGTGGTAATCTCTTGGTCCTGCTTTCTGGCTACAACCCTCTGATTTCCTTCCTTCCCAGCATCTGCTACTATGGCCGGCTCTTCTGGGAGTGGGGGGATGGCATCCGTGTACATGACTCCCAGAAGCCCCAGGACCCGGACAGACTATCCAAGGAGGATGTCCTCTCCTTCATCCAGACACACCGCACCTGAGGGCCCGGGGACGCCCACTCCTACTGACACCCCTGCTGTTCAGAGTTAGGGTGCTCTACCTGGGCCCCTCTCGAAAGGGACAGGGGAGCACAGCCTGGCCATGAGGGGTGGATGGTCTCCTCTCCATCTCCCCTGAAGAGCTCAGTTGGGGGCCATCAGAGGACACTCACATGTTCCTTCTGGGACACCTTTCAGACTTTCCTCCCCGGAGACCTGCCTGGGAACTGTCTCCCCTGCGAGGACTCAGCCTGAAAGACGCTGCTCCTACATGGTGTGCGGTCAGGGCCCAGGGCACGTGGGGCTGCGGAGGACGTGTCAGAGCAGCAAGGCTTTGGCTCTGCTGTTCTCTCCTGTGTCCTGTAGACTCACTTTTCTGAGTTCTGTGACTGCCCTGAGGGTGACCATGCTCCAGCTTTGCCCAACTTTTTACTGGGCCAACCCGTTAGTGGGTGAGGCCACTGTCAGGGGCTGGCCAGGAGCACCTGCTGTACAAATCAAGGTTGTGTTTCTCTGAACTTGCTCTGTTTTGATGCCAAGTTGGAGAAGATTTTCTTGTCTTGTCCCCCCACTGCCTTGGTCTTCCCTGGAGCTCTCAGCCTAGACCTCTGACAGTCCCGCAGGCCGGGACACCACACCAGGATGCAGGTCGCACTGTCTGGTAGTGGATGTGACTGCTTCCTGGGGTGGTAGAGCCTTCCTGGGCCCCATCCCCTTTTGACCCAAATCTTGGGCAGCTCTAGAAGGGGAGGAAGCACCCTCGAAGCCCTGCCTTTTTCTGTGCCCCAGCATCAGTGGCCCCACTGCAACAGAGGGTACTTCATTTGCCACAGCCACCTTGCTACCCTTCCCTTCTTACCCGTAGGGGGTACAGTCACTTTTGCCATCTCTTGGTGTTGGCTGAGGGGGAAGGGGGGAAGGGGGGAAGCTGGGCAGTAGCTTTGGGTAGGGATGGCACTGGTGGTTGTTTTTAATGGGAAATACCCGCCAGAGACGTTCATACAGGCTCCCGAGGGCCCCCTCCCAGTGCTAGACTGGTTTCCATGGAGATAGGGCACTGAGGCTCCCTGTCAGGTTGGAATTGGCTCCACCCTGCGGTGAGGGTGTGTCTCCAGCCAGTACCCAGCTCTCGTGCCTCCCCACCCCCCTCCTTCCCCAACCCCCAGGTTGGCAGCAGCACTGCTAAAATGTTGTATTTCCACCCAGTTTTGGGTATATGTGTGTCTTGCAAAATCTTGGATCATTAAAGATAAACATATTTTTAATGCCTGTGTGGCTCTGTGCTGGGGCTGCTGCTGGTTGTCCTCCGTGTTTGGTCTGGGACTGGCTTAGATAAAACAGCTTGGGCTGAAGGTGAAGGGGAGGAAGTTGTGCTGGAAGAAGAGAGGGTTTGTTTAATCGGAGCCTTGTCCAAGCTCAGGGCTCTCAGAGCTGCTACTTGCTGCCAGAGAGGGGCCCAAGGAAGTCGGCAAATTATGCAGCTTCTGTTAGAAGCCAGGATGGGAGGATGAATGAACCTACAGCCCAGCAGGGTAGGGAGGCACTTTCCCCCTGACATAAATCACACAGCTCACTGGTGATACTGTGACAATCCAGGATCAGTCTGTGACTAAAATAATAGGTGTCAGACCAATTAGTACCACTAGACCAGAGGAAGGAGGGAGGGAGAGATGGTTGTGCCAACCCCCAGCCAGCATCCCTCCTTCCTGTGCCTGCACTGGCGGCTGTGCTTGGGGTGGGAGACACGCAGGTGCTGAGGGCACCTCCCACTCCGGTCCAGGCTAGTTCCTTTCCCAGTCCCATCACTGCTGGTTTCCTCTAGACCAGTGGTTCTCAACCTTCTGGCTCTTTAAATACAGTTCATGTTGTGATCCAACTATAATTTTCGTTGCTACTTCATAACTGTAATGTTGCTACTGTTACGAATTGTAATGTAAATATCTGATATGCAGGATGGTCTTAGGCGACCCCTGTGAAAGGGTCGTTCGACCGCCAAAGGGGTCGCGACCCACAGGTTGAGAACCGCTGCTCTAGAGCCTGCCTGCACTTTACCTGGCTCCTCCCTAGCCTCATGGTCCTTTCCTGAGCTCCCAGGGCAGCTCCTTTCCATGTTTTACTTACCTGATTGGGGCGATCTCAGCTCCTAAGCCCTTCACCCTTTTGGTTGCCCTGTTCTGACTACCTTGCTCCAGCCTCCAGCACGGCATCCTGGGCCCTGTGCTGGGACTAGGGTTGGGGGATGTGCTCAGAGGCAGGGTGTGATGTCTGTGTTGGCGGCTCCTGCCTCCCCATCCTGTCGGCCCCACCTCTACCGCTTCCCCCAGCAGACCCCGCCTGATTTACTGCCCACTGTCACCATAAGTCAGTCTGGTCATTACCATGGCTCTTGTAGCCCACTCACTCCGCCAGACCTCGCCAGCCTGGCTGCCTCTTCAAGACGGATTAACTCCTTGCCTCCGTAGGACTGCCAAGCGACCACTTCAAGTCCCCAGTTGCCCTTCGCTGCACAGGCTACCTTTTTCCTGCCATAGGTGCAGGCAAGGCATGACAACGTGTTTGGTGGGGGTGGTGGGCACGTGGCACGATGCCCAAGCCCTGGAAATGGCTCTCAGTGTAGTTCAGGCTTGGGGAGTGCTTCCCGCTGTCTTTATTCCCTACTTAAGTTGAGGGCTCACATTCACAACCCCCCTTCTGAGTTCTAAGCCAAGAGCTTTCCCTTGAACATCTCTTCTCCCTTGGTTCCTGAGTGCCGCCGCCCCCTCCCCCGCCC